AACCATGTGAAATGCCTCGAGAAAGTCTACTTAGGCATTACTCCACTATTGCATTTTTGGACATCCAACGATAGACCAGATTTGTTGACTGTTTGGAAAATAAACAGGATTAATTGAAGAAATAATTGCATGTGAGAGAACTCAAGACTTCAAATTCAAAGTTTTTTTTGTTAAAAAAATATTCTTTATCAATTTACGGTTTTAAATAAATTATTGTAATAAGAAAACGTAAAAAGAAAAGTTTATCGAGTTCAAATCTCAAAATTGTACATATGTTTGGGGTTTGATTAGAACATAAATTTGATCTATAATAATATGATAACTTTAAATTAATAAATTGTCATTTCTATATCAATTCAAGCGCTAAATGAAATGATCAACATTAGCTTACACTTGTTCAATAACTATCTATTAAATTGTGGTATTTAATTATAGTCGATGTGCAGAGCTAATAAATTTTGATTTTGCCCTAATTTATTTTAGGGTTTAGGGGAGCAGCGATTCCTAATTTTTTCATTTTTTGTAAATTTTATCATAATCTTCAATTTGTGTCAACGAACGTCTCTAACTTTTTAGAAATATGCAGTTGGGATCCAAACGGATGGAAACCATTACCGTTAGTTGACCAAAAAAATTGATTTTGATCAAATTTGATAAGGGCAAAATGGTAAGTCCACAAATTTTACATTTCGATTATGAGATTCGGTTGTGGTTGTGTGGAGATTTGACAATTGTTGGAGATGGTGACGATTGGTGGAGATCCGATTCTTAGATCTTTGGTGTCGAATTCGGGATTTTGAAATTATAGAGGATTTGACAACCATTTCACTCATTGCTATGGGTTTTCATTGCAGAGGCTGTTGGCGGTTTGAGATGGTGTTGGTGGTATTGATTTAGGAGCAACATCGTGTGGGTGGCAGTGGCAGTGGTGGTTGTCGTTCGATAGTGTGTGAGTTTTCTTGGTTTAATTTTCAAGTATGGGGTGAGTTTTCTTGAATTATTTTCGAATCTAAATTGGCAAATGTGGAGTGGGCTAGAAGGTGGTGGTGGAGGATGTCGAAACTGGTAGTTGTTGGTGGTGAGGGGAATTGTCGTGGCGGTAGTGGCAGTGTGGGTCGAAGGTGGCTGTTTCTAGTAGGTCTCGTTGGAGAAGAATAAGAGATGCGGTTTTGATTGGGAGGGTGGGGTAGAAGATAAGGTTTTTTTTTTGTCCTCTAATTTTGTTTTATTTTTTATAATATGGAATTAACTAAATTACCATTTACCCTTACCAAATTTGATCAAAATTAATTTTTTTGGTCAACTAACTCTGTATATTTCTGAAAGATTATGGACGTTCGTTGGTACAAATTGAAGGTTAGAGTAAGTTTACAAAAATTGAAAATGTTAGGGACCGCTATTACAATTTTCCTTTATTTTATGAATAGAAAATCGCCATTAAGATTTTGTATTATCTTCGTAGAAGGAGATATATTAGATAAGATAGGATGTGCGATTTTATCTTGTAAACTTGTTTTCAACACCGTGAATTACTGCAACAAAGAAAAATTATGTAGACTAATATTAAGGCAAACCTATATAAATCTTATATATCTTTATTTTTTACTGTGAATTGATTACTCTAAGTGAAATAGAGTTAAGAGTTCGTTTGATTGCAAATGTGAAAAATGAGTGGAAATAAAATATTTTATAGGGAATTGATTTGTCTAGAAATTGTTTTATTGAGAATTGTAATTAATTGTATTTGATTGATATAATTTTTCATGGAAAATGTTAAAAGTTTGGTGTCTGTTTGACTTCATTTTTTATGAAAATTGTCCATTAAAGTGATAATTTTTTCTACCATTGCGTCTAGAATTTGTTCCAATTACCAAAAAGTAAAAAAAAAAAAATTAAACAATTAGAAAAAATTACCATATTCGTTTGACTTT